ATATTAATTATAAGATGTTATTATTTTCACTTTATTTCATCTATATCGTTGTTACAAACTTATAACAAGGCAAAACGGGGCAAATATTAAAGTAACACTTGTATAAATGTATAATTAAATGACGATACAAAATTATTAATTTTAACCTTTCGTATGCTTGCTTTTATAAGGCATGCATGCATCACGATTTAATTAAATGATATCAGTTAACTACTTTTTATTACAAAACTTATTTAATAAAGTCGGATAACTTTACTAACTCAACTTCATTATTTAAATAAAATTTAGGTTTTATAAGTGAGATTAACAAGTTTCTGTGACGTCATATATTGAGTTTGCCAAGCTGCTTTTAAAGGATATAAAAGCCTTAAATATCGTTAATAAGCTAAATTCACATTCGTATAAGTTTATTTGAAACACGTTTAAATGAATTCATTTAAGTACTCGCATGTCGATCGTTATCGAGCTATCGCAATAAAATGCGTCTGGTCTGGATACTTGTCCTATAGACTAGCTAGTTTTAGTATGCAAGTATGCTGACGTCATTATCGAAACAGATAAAATATATCTTACTATTATAAATGCGAATGTTCAGATGAACGATTTAACGTATTTAGATTAAACTTAACTTAAACTTATCTTATATCTTTAAATGAGCAATTCTTGTAAATATATATAATTGGAATCTCGGAATCGGCTCCAACGATTTTCATAAAATTTAGTATATAGGGGGTTTCGGGGGCGATAAATCGATCTAGCTAGGAATCATTTTTAGAAAATGTCATTTTATTAGTGTTTTATCGATAATCAACTTAAACATAAACTTAACTTTTTCTATCGGTAAGATTGAAAAATATTGTTCATATTTCATCATTTTATTAGTAATTCGTAGTTAGTTATAATTTCCAAAAAACACAATTTAAAAAAAAAATACCGAGCAAAGTTCGGTCATCCAGGTACTGGAATATAATCTAAGAGAACGTACAGGCTACTTATGTTCTTTGTTTTAATTCGCACGGACGATGTCGCAGGCAAAAGTTAATTACAAATAAAAGTAACATGAATGATAAATATTGTAACGACTATACATCATATGAACAACTTTTTGCTTACTTCTTTTAGTATGTGTCATATTTATATATCACTTTGATAAATCTACATAACGAGTAGCTTGAAGGATGTAACATTTATTACTATGTGATTATCTTAATTGTGTCGCTAAATAACTTATTTGGGATGGAGATCACTCGTGATACAATATCTATTTAAAAAAAATTACACATACGAATGGTTAAATAGTGTTTTTTTTTTTTATCTTATTATTTTATTTTATTTTTTGGGAGTTAAATAGTGTTAGTTACGAAAATATTACTTGTTATATGAAGGAAAGAAAACTTTTAAATAAACATTATGTTTATCATTTTAAATAGAGCATAAGCTATATTTTTACTGTTATGAAATACTAACATTCTCTAAAATTACGCCTTAAATAGGTATGTTTAGCCTTTCTAGATAATCTATCTCGTATAATATTGAGTTTAGTCTATCGATATAGGAAAGGTATTTGAGACTAATTAACGTTCAAATATACGGTAAGGAGTGGCGTAGAACAGACGCATGTCTGAAGCACCTTGCCTTACCGTGCGCCGGCGCCGCGCGGTCATCGACCACTAACGAAACAGTGTCACACTATAATACAACCTAAATCAAAACCATATTAACATACTACATATTGGATAATTTTTATAAACCAGTTAAGACATTTTTAAAGAGTTTTTAGATTTTAATAAACAAATTTATAGAGTATTATGACTATTATGAATGTCAAAGAGTAGATTTACAGTAAAATGTATTAATTACTAAATGTCGGATGGAGTAACATCCATGCGGAGATAAAAAACTTAGTATCCAATGTGTTCTTCCAGACTATATTCTATATGTATGCCAAATTTAATTGAAATCTGTTCATCCAATTTAAAGATACCTTCAAACAAACATCCATCCATCTAAACATTCCCATTTATAATATTAGTAAGAAGTGAGATGTCTGCCAAGGCGATATATAAGTATTGCCATAAGAATTGGTTTAGACCTTATCAATTCAACCAGTAACATGATTCAGTTTATTTTATCATCTTCATTATATCTATAATTCACACTATCAACTAAACTAATCATCCTAACTTAGGGTAGGCTCCGAGCCCCTCGGTGGGGATGTATAGTGAGCTGATGATGATGATGATAATTCACACAATTTAGGCATGTTTGTTACTATGGGTTAATAATTTTTGATTAAAAAATATTTACGCTTTATCTAATGTGATTATCTTATCAATATAAATAAAGATGAAGTTTGTTTGAACAAGTTAATCTCGACTACTAATAAAATTTAATAATAATATATATATTACAGTATATTTTTTGGGGACAGATTATTCATTATGTGACATATAAAACCTACAGTCACAGTATTATATGCATATAAGAAATAAAAGGAACATGTATATTGCTTTGTCATAGAAATATGATGAAAAAAATGTGCATAAAGCATAGAATCTATTATAATTGCTATATAATTACATGTGAACTGTTGAGATCATGCAGTTGCATAGTGCAGTCATGCTCCGTGGAGCTGAAGAATATTAGTACACCACAGCACACAATATAATAACTCTTACTGGAAATAAACATCTAAATGACTTTGTAGGCTACATACAAAACTTATTAAAAAGATAAATTTTTCATGTTATATACTATGTTAGATATTTTATATAATTAATTTAAATATATCCTTATATGTTTGAGTTGGATTGTTTCCATACCATTGTAAAAACAATTATACAGATTCTATCAAATCATAAATATCTAGAACTACACCCTTGTTTTAAATATTTTATTTATATGCTATTGGTTAAAAACAAATTTTAATATCTTTTATATTCAGAAAATCATGATTGCTTCTCCGAGAATATGGATATTTTAGGTGTGCAGTATGACACTGTATTCATAGCTAAAAGCAAGTCTGTGACAGTGTACAAATGTTTCTTGCAAGACACAAAGCTATTAAGGACATTGAAGTACCGAATCTTATTTATTCAAATAAATGTCCCATGACATATTCCATTAATACTAAACAATATATTTAATAATAATCCACTAAAATGATTACTACATTTCAATTATTTATGAAAAGCTTACCTCTCTCACAGTGTCCACTTTTTTCTTCAGCTCAGGATCTGCATTCGGTTTCAGGGGAACAGGAACATATTTATTTTCAGCACCTTCCAGTTCCTTGAGACCTTCAGGTGATGCGTTTTTATTAGCAGCATTGTTGTCTACTGCGGGCTCTTCTATAGCATCCACTGGGGCTTTGCTGGGCCCTCGAGAAGACGATGCCGACGGCGCTACGTCAAATTGTGGCCTTTCCAACACTTTCATACCCATATCCTCTTCAATCTTAGCACGAAGACGATTTCTGTCTTCAACTATATGAGGATCATCACCTTCTTCGCCGTGACGAACGATTCCCACGGCAGCAAACTCTCCCACTTCGTTATGCATAACAGGCGGTGGCATAAGTAGCTCAGGACCGGCTTTCTGAATACGTTTGTACACATTATATACACTGTCGTTGACACTACTCGAGTTTTTAAACTCAGGCAAATAGAAAAGTGCGCCTAACCATACAATTGCGAATGTCAAAAGTACAGAAACGATTAAATATTTCTCTCGAAGTCGAAAAGATCGTCGAGAAATGGACGGCACGGGGACTCCATTTACAAAGCGTTGGTAAGTGGGTAAAATTCCGGTCATGTTTATGTAAACACGGTAACTACAAGTTCTAAATAATAAATTTAATGTCAATTTCCCCTCACTGACCGTCACTCGCGATCGCCATTAAAGAACTGCCAACTTCATGTTTTTGCCATTTGTTGTGTTGGTATTGCAAGCTGCTAATATTACATTTTCTGCCACTTCCTACCAATACCAGTTTTTTTTTGTGCTAGCAAAATTTAGATACTACTAATAAAATAAAGAAATTTATTGTTTAACTCTGACAAAAAATAGTAAACAAAACCGATTTAAGAGACTAAAATATTCCGTTGACGATATCATTTGTTCATTTGTGCAGCCCGAAAAGTTTGACTATATCCCATTTTAAGTCATTTATGTTATTAGAAATTGTCATAAATAGAAGTGTAAATATCACGAGTAATAACATGTAGTTTTAATTGCCAATATCTATATTAATCTAAATACTATCCATATCTATATTAATGTACTGTTTTTAATGCTGAACATTATATGTAAATTTATTTTGTGTTTTCTTGAGCACTCTTTAAGCTGCATTAAGTTGTGAGGGTTATCAAAATATATAAATTTGCCATCATTAATTGCTTGCTGTTGAAGTAAACAGTAAGCAATTAATAATGGCAAATAACTTGCTTACAGTTTTCGTCTGTAGTTAGCATTGGCGAATTCGTGTTTGGGAAATTTTTGCTCTCTGGTAACCCTAGAAAGGTTTAGGTGCCTCCTGTCAATGACAAAAAACTGTCATGCGACGTAAAATGTGATGTTTGACAAAAAGTTCTATCTGTGTAGGTTATGTAGGGCAAAGAGAATGTAACTAGTAGGGCTCTTTAGTGTGCTGTTAATTAATATTGCCATGTGCAAACGTTCAATTTCTACTATACGCAATCCATTGCAGATTGCAACAATATTGCAGTAAAACCGGGAGTTTTTACTGTCTAAAGCCGTTCTTACTTTTCAGAAAATTTTATATACTCTTTGCAGAAAACAGTCAATAATTCGTCCTAGGTAAAATATAACATTCCATGATAATTAGCAACCTGCTTTTTTAAAATAAATTCAGAGTTGTTTTGAAAGTTAAATTGCATTTTTCCTTATGATGTACTGCTCTTAAACTCATTTTTTTTTATAGTGGGTGAGATTAACTTAAATTAGGTAATAATGGGTTAGGAAAAGAAGAAAAGATACACTTGTTTATACACTATCTTTATTTCGGTTCAGTTGTGTATATTTTATATAATACATAATGTAATTTTACTACTACGTATATTTTATTTCTCAGGTAAAAAAATCTTAAAATATATGATTAAGTACTCAATTTAATTTATCCTCCATGCATTACAAACCTAATACTCACGAGATCAGTCAATTTATGATTCTTAAACTACAATTTCATTCTGTTTCTTATAATCTAACTTGATAGAGAACATTTTTGTGCTTCGATACAATTTTATCGCAATGCTATGAGCGAGGTTTAAACCTTGACATGTAAAAGTCGCAATCTGGACAGTACATGGCTGGAGGGCTAACACTCTTTTTACGACACAAACTGCAAACAGATTTTTGGGCAGATAACGTTTGCGTATCGCCGTTATAATTATTCGTGTTCATTTGCGGTGGTACAGGAGATTCCGTGCCGCCTTTCGTTCCCGGCTCAAATGACACTGACTTCTTTTGAATTTGTTTAGGCGGTGGTAAATGTTGGTACGGGCTGTACGAGTTTTGGTACTGATACTGAGATATCTGCTCATTGTTCGGCACATTGCTATCATTGATCGTACTCTGATTGTAATTGGGCCGCTGTTGTTGAGAGTTAGCATAGTGTCTCGCATCTTGTACACGACCCTGAGTGTTGTTGTTTTCTAGGTAGTAGTTATTTTGTGTTTTCTGGTAGTTATTGTTGTAGGCGTCGAGGGGCATGTCGCCGTGCGGAGGCGGAACTCGCTGGTAGGGAGAATGCGCAGCGCTGTAATGGTTTGTACTATTCACTTGGGGATATCGACTAGAATAATCGGAGCTAGCGTAGCTTGTCGGTGGGTTGTGATAGCTCTGATAAGCCGGTGAATTGGTGGGAACGCTTTGGTAAGTGGAATTATTACTCGGTAAGTTTTGATTGTATTGTCGGTTTGTTGGATAATTGGTGGGAAGCGTCGATTGCGTTTGCTGAGGCAGCCTATGATAGTAAGCGTTATTTGGCGTTTGGTTGGCTGGGTGAAGCTGGCTCGGTGGGTGGGGGAACGTATTAGGAACAGATCTCTGCAGGTTAGGCACGTGTTTGGACATGAACTGCGTAGCTGTAGGCGTAAGTCTATTTGCGGGGTTTTGGCTGAAGCTCGGTGGGCTCGCGTTGTTGTGATTCTGGTAAGCTGCCGGAGGTTGATTGTATGGGATTGGATTTGATGAGTTCGGTGGATTTACTGGCAACGTCTGATAAATTTGGTTATTATTGTTTACGGCGCTTTGATTTTGCGAATGAACCGATGAATTGGTCCCTTGAAGGCCTATTTTTTGCTGATTTGAAGGTTGTTGATGGCGCGTTTGTACAAGTTGGTACGTTGGGTAATTTTGAACCCGATAATATTCAGCGTGTGCCGTTTCGTTGGGAACATATGACGTTTGAGATAAAGACGATATCGTAGAACGGGACGATTGACTGTCAAAGGAGTCTTGTCTCTGCAACGACGGCTTCTCGTTCTGCAATGGCATCGTTGTCAACTCTGGCTTATTCATGGCTGACTTCAGAACGCGTTCCAATATAGGATTAGGAATATAACTGTCGTCTTCCTGGTCCTCGGCTGTCGCAACTAATATAACTTGGTCGCAAAACGATACAGATTTCTTCTTAGGTTTTGATCGATCTCCGTATGGCGCGATATTATTATTATTGCTTAACTTTTGATCGTTATATTCATCAATCATTTGCTTAGGGTCAATCGAAGATGAGGAGGCGCGCCGGCTGTAGATTCCTGTGTTTGATTGATTCGAGCAGTTAATAACGTCTCTGTTACCGCTCATTCCGATAAAACCTACATGAGATCTGTCTTGTTCTGAAATATTTTGCGTATTACATTCAAACCTCGACGCTATGTTTCTGACGTTGTTATTGTCATTTTCAAATGTTCTGTGGATAGAATTCTCACCTGGGCTAGAAAGTTGACCCTCTAGGGAGCCTGATCTTCTAAGTTTTAAGCTTGCTTGTTTAGCTTGGAGTTCTCTAAGCCAAGTATCCGTTTGTAGGTGTGATGGTTTCATGGCACATTCCTCGCTTCGCAATATTTGATTTCTTTTTTCTTGTAACTGTGCTAATAGCGATCCTTTAGGAATTTCTTTGTCTTCCTCACTGTAGTGTTGACTGGAGTTCACATTTTGAATTTTACTTAATTCATCCTGTAGCGGTGTTAAATCGATCGGAGGAGGTGGCGGTGGGAACTCCTCGCTGGGCTGTCGGGAATGGTTGACCGAATTCATCGGGCTGGGATACGGCGGGAGTTCGAACATTGGTGGCGATCTTCTCATTGGTAATGCGAAGTCGACAACATCTACTCCATTATCAAAAGCGTTACTTAAATTTTGAATATTATTTTGCGACGGCTGTATGTTCGGTACATTGTCCCTTTTAACGGGGCTTTGCTCTTGATGCACCATCGCTTTTGTTACAACGGTGAGAAAGTTTTGTGATGGTGAATCATCGAGTCGATTGTAATGGTTGACCGGTTGACCGTCGTACGAAGGTAGAAACGGTAGTGATTGCGGTTCATCGCCGTATTGTTCTACAAAGCCACCATTGTCTTCATTATTTTGGATGTAAGAATATTCATTTTGATTGACAATCGGTAGAGGCTGTGGCGGACGAGTTTGCATATTATGCTCGATTACTTCTGCTTCAAACTTAGTCCCGCTAAGCTGAGAAGTGGTTCGCAGTGGCGGTGGCGGTGGTACTTTGGCTGCAGTAAGGATTTTTCCAGCGCTACCGTGGAAGCTCTTTCGCATTAGCTTGCTTCTTTCCAGATTTGGATTAGTTCCACTTGCAGCGGAATACTCTAAATGGCCCTCTGAAAGATAGCCACTTAAGTTTGATTTTTCCTCATCCTTCCTTCTACCCACCTCGGCATCATCGATGGAAGTGACTCGTTTATCTTTATTATTAGATTCGGTTTTTCCATCTGCCCCTTCGGTCAAGTCGGGCATTGAGCGATTCTTTCTTCTGATTAAGCCACCCATTAATAGTTTTCTTCGAATTTTATGTTGCTTCTTACCTTTTTTATCTTCTACGGGTTCCTCCTTCTTTTCTGTAGCTATAGTAACTTCTTTTCTCGCTCTACCACGATCTTCGCTTCTTGACCTTTTTTCTTTTTTTTCTTCGTCTCGTGATTTGTGTCTAGAAGAACGCTCTTTTGTGGTATTATCAATGTCGTCTTCTATGTTTTTTGAGGATTTTTTCGATGAACTTTTCTTTTTAGGCAACGTGGCATAAATTTCAATGGTAGGAGAATTTTCAAGACCTCCCTTTGTATTTCTTACGGGTGCGGTGAGCGTAACCTCAGGCGGCCTAGTCATGCCAGCCATTTTTCTCTGAAGACTTCTAGCTCGCATCACACAAGTATTATGTTTCATTCTAGCAACAGTCATCGTGTGTTGATTATTGTAGGGCGCGTCCATTGCTGCTCGTGCTTTCGCTGCGGCATTATCACAAAGAATTAAAGCAGTTTCGTAGTCTGCCGCGTCTTCGGCATGGCGAGATTTATCTAGCAATGAATCTGCTTCAGAGCACAGAGCATCACAATCACCACGAGTAGTTAATTCTGGTATTTGCGCAAGTTGTAAATTAGGAGGCCTGTGATTTTGTTGCTGCGGGAGGCTGTCAGTCGAAGATAAAGAGTATGAGTCATATCCTGTGTCACAGGAACCACCACTTGATAATTCTCCTTTACGAGTCGGACTACTGGGAATACTTCCGGGTCCGCGTCCTCTTGGATACATATAGGGACTATCGGCTGTCGATGACGCCGAGGACGCACTGTTACGATCTCCACTCCAATTTCCTGAATCTCTTCTCGATCTCGGCCTCTCTTGGGTGTCTGATGCGGAACTAGCACTTAAGCTCCGCGCTAATTGAGCCCGTCGACTGGCTTGCACATCGAGCATATTCTCCACAGCTTTCCTACTCACGTATTCGCTGTCATTTTCGGGACCTGGAGTAACAGCTCTTCTCGCGAAACCTGCATTCGGTCTCTCGGGAGCCGGCGTTATCGCGCGTCTGGGTTCCGGGGCAGGAAATGGCACAACTTCTTTCGGCGCATGACGGGTATCACACGGCGTTCCGTCAACAGCGGCGTATAACAAGAGCAGCGGTTGAAATCTACCTCTCCGACATTTTTCGACAACTTGCGACCATTCCGGCCCAATCTCTTTAACGTCGGCGTCGTCAAAATATATCCAAAGGCGAAGTTTACTATGAAAGAAGAAGGTGGAATAATGTTTTCCGTAGTAGGTGACGAGACCGACGAGCCTGTGAGTGGCCCTAGCGGCCCATGCGCAGTCGACGCAGGCGTGGAAGGCGTCTGTAGGGCGCAGCTCGGTGCCCAGCGCGGCGTACACCGCGGCCACGTGGTCGGCGGATGGCCGCTCGGAGTCCCACACCATTCCGATCGATACAACTTCGGGCCTATTCATAAGTGTCCGGCAAATTTGGATTTTCGCACCACATGCGTTCTGAAAGTAGGAAAAACACATTTTATGGCAAATTCTCTTATTGCTATCTGTTTTAATTTAAATTGTTTCTAAAAGTTAGTTAAAGGTAAAATTTTATGCAAGAAGTAGCTAATTGATGTGTTATCATAAACTGAATGAGATATAATGTAACTTACCGGACAATCTCTAATATCGCCCATGCCCCCGGCTTTCCTCAGCAATGTGCCGAAGCTGTCTCCGTGGTCACCAAATGCCGCTTGAGTTGTTAAAGCGGTTGCTGACACGTAATGCACCATCTGGAATTATAAGAAGGCAAATTTAATGTTAGATATAAAGATCTTACCTACTTGAGAAATAACACTCAGTACTCAAATAACAGTATAATAATCGATTGATAAAATAAATATTAAAAAGCTAAGAATTCCTTACCTGGGTAAAGGGTAGAGGCTCGGAAGTAGCCTGACACGCGCCACAGACGGACTGCTCGACTAGCATCATGGCGAACTTGCGGTGGGGCACACAATGGGGCGCCCTGCAGGCGTCGTCATCCCGCTTGTCACCGGCGGCGGCTACGTGAGCGTGTACCCGTAGCAGCAGGTGCTCGAAGCACTCGCTGGCATCCGCCATGCATCCCAGCTGAAAGCGCGAACCGCCGCCCAGCGCGCGACGCAAGCTGTCCGCGGCCGGCGCACGCTCCGCAGACCATTGCAACTGAGCGAACAGCTCCTGTAGACAATAACCAAGGAATTAATTACTATCAAAATACGTAATTTGAAGTACTCTCCATTTTCATTGCTTTATATAATTAATTTCCACAAATACTTTTATACAAGGAAAATACTTTAAAACAAATAAAAACAATACAGCATAAAGTATTCACATTGATTCGGAGAAAGGCCTGCGAAGGAATATACTACGGCGAGTTAATCAAATTCGTGAAGAAAGCTCTGTTTCAGCCTAGTTATACAAATTCATACCTTATTTTCAATACATAAAAGATGAATTTCTTACAACTAGGGTGTTGAGGCTAACGAAAAAACCAGTATGGCACGAATATTATAGGTCAGAAACGAGGCATGACCCGGCCGAGATCATGCGACGTAGTTTGTAAAAACGGGTCTCGTACGACACTTTTCGTGAGTTTCGTAATGTTTGCTTTTGGATACGGCGTTTATGGACTTGTGATCTTTATTCTATGCGTTCCTGGTAAACAAAATACATGAACTATTTATTGTTTGTAAGTTTATATTCTGAATATGAAGAAAAATATCAGATTTTTTTTGTATGTTTAAAATTCATATTTTTTGAGTCGTATAGTTATGACGATGTTTTACTATATGAAATCAATATTTTCAAAGCAGACAAATAGTTGATCGAACTGTTTGAAAGTGTACTATAACCTATATAGTACACTTTCAAACAGTTAAATGTTGTAATATCCTTTACAAGATTACGTCGGAATGGTTGTAATTCAAGTGGAGTGTTTATCCGGGACAGGCGCAGTGACGGACGCAGCTTGCGCCGTGCCTTCCGTTATGCACATCGTACACAACACTATAATCGAAGGTATTGAAAAACTGTAATTTAACGTACTGGAATAAATTGATTATTTATTTTTTGATTATTAATATAACAGGTAACCTTGAAAATATATTGATGTATTCTTGATAATTCAGATAATTGCTCGATGTTAAGAATAGTTGAGTTTTATTTAATATGTTTTAATTTAAATATGTCTTCATACAACCAAAATAATATATAGACACAAGTCATAGAGACGTACGAAAAATCATAAATCACATTTCACACGCATATTCAGTCTCCATCGGTTTATTGCCCCTTTACCCAAACATAACTTTTTACATTTGCGAGAAGTTAACATGAAAGCGGTAAGGCATTGTTTGATCGAAGCGCGCCTGCGTACATCTTTATATTGTCTTTTGATTTTAATATTCAATTTCTCCCAAACCTTACTTATTTCAATGTTATCTTTCTTCGTTTGTATTTTTAAACTGGCCAATTAATATTGGAAACAAAGAAAATCTCCTTATTATCAATGCATTGTAAAGTAGATACAATAAGTATCACGGAACTAATACGTTAATAGTAATAATGTTGTAGGCACATATAAGCCAAACAGAGAGCCACCACATTTTCTGTGAGAACGCGGCTAGTCTACCGCCGCAATTGTTGCGTGCGAATTATGTCTGTCAACCGTGAGCAATAACCCTGCTACTTGAGATTTCTGATAGCCTGGTACTTATTGGCGCCATCGTATAAGCCATAAAGAATCAGTAAAGTTTTGCTTTTAATTTGTTGGCGAAAAAAAATTATACAACATGGGACGTTCGTCCTATTTTATCTTGCCACACAATGCCACGTTAACAAGTTTCGGCTAAACGATTTATATCTTGTAAATGTATTCGCGTAGTTCATAATGGAACATTATAAATATTTCATTGAAATACAATAACATGAATAAATAAACATTCCATTCTTGGCCATTAATAAACTTTAAGTTTAATCAACACAAACAAGCTCATAAGGAAACGATTATCTCATAGTTGTTTTTCCATTCATATCGCATATCAAAAAGGTCCATATCGATTTGAAAAAGTAATGTTAAAGAATTTTAATGTGTGAAGATTTTCTTAGCTGTTGGATTTATCATATTAATAAATGTCAACACGCTTCGGTGTGGATACCTTCACGTACGCATTCCTGCTAAATATTCTGATGGCAAATTGCCTTTGAAGGCTTCAATACAATGGCCTTTGAGGGCCAGAAGCTACTATTAAATACAAAGTCATTTCCTCGCTTGGAAAATAACAGTTACCTGCTTGGAAAAGTTTATTGTTTTCTTCGATTTCAACGAGCCATTGTAGTTAACATTGCGTACTATGTATTTGTGTAGCATTAAGCGACATCAAATATATGTATTTTGATCAAAAAAACCTTATTGCAAATTGCTGCTTATATAAAAACCTCAATTATAATATGGGACTTACTCTGAATAACGAAATAGTTGTTGGATTCAAGAGCTGTTCAGGTGGGTCCCTGCGGGCGGCGGATGGTGGTCTAGACCTCGGCAGCGTGTTGTGCCGCACACCCGCCAGGGAACCCACCAACATCATATCCTTGGGCGGCAGCAACTCTCGGTCCCTCAGACCCTCGATCTTCTGCTTCTGTATCGCCGTCCCACTCTTCCCGCCATCATTCGTCTCCTTCTTCTTGTACCGAAACTTTATCATTTCACCGACTAGTCCACATAGTTCAGGGTGATCACGCGATCGGCGAAGCGAATTAAACGAATTCGCTTCGGCTTCTCATTCGAATTCAATCTTCATACCGGTCGTGATCGAAGACAATGGCCGCAAGCTAAATATACATATCTATCAGTGGCCGTGTCCGCAAACAACTTAAAAGGCAATAAGTATCCGAACCACGTACGATTAAGAAACTTTTCATTTGAATTCCACTCGTCTCAATATACTGAACAATGTCCGTTTAATATAAATTAAAATCTATGTTATAAAACTTATCGACTTTGTAGTCTTAAAGCTAGCGCGGGAACATCAGTTACGATAACTCCGAGCAGGTAGGGACGAGCGACAGGTGGTCGCTAATGTTTAAAGTTAATTCCAATACAACTGGCAGGTTGCGTGACGCACTCATAAAACCATCACTGTAATAACACTTATTAAAATCTAATGACGAACTGTCATATAATAATTAGAAGAAAAATAAAAACTTTTTAAAAAGCTCTAATAGTCAACGAACGTCACCGCGGAGGCTTTCAAGCAGACTGACGTGAGACGAACGGCGTGCGGTGGGGGCGGGAAACGCGGGCGCCTCTACCTTCCAGGTAGGTATAGTTTTTTTTTGTAATCTATTGTTAACAAACTCACGTGGGCACGATACCTTCCCTTTCTATCTTATATGCGTATACGTATTTTCATCTCTCTCTTTTACGGGTATGCCATGCTTTGTTTATATTTCAATGGCGGTAAGTAAAACCCGCCAAGCCGAACTATAAAATATAGAAAAGAGCGTCTTACAGCGCACGTGGAAGTGCAGAAAATGTGTTTAGCAGATGTTTTATTACACAGGGACCTAGGTAGGAAAAATTAATTTTAAGATTTTTAACATGTCATGATTACAAGTCTCATCTTTCCGGAGATAAAAAGATAGAGACGAGTTAATTATGTTCACATTGCAAAAGAGCTTATTTAAACAGCAAAAGGTCAATGAACCGTTGTCCTTAGAAAATACTTAACTCTATGTATGTTAATTTGGTAAACTTTCATTTGTACATAGTCACTATTACTTAAAGGAGACGAACATCTTAAATCTGATGGCCTAAGATGACAGCTATTGTTATTTCCAGGATTAACATTTTGAATTCAACTAATTAAATTGGTTGTGTTATTTGTTGTGAGGTTTTTTATAGTTCAGATCTTTATATTTTTAAGCTTATTTATATTTAAAAGCATTAGATGTTTAATATCCAATAACAATAAACGATTAGTAATGCATGATTGTGTTATAAAACACCTCATGATTTAACTTAAAGATATTTCTATGAATCATACTAATGTTATTAAAAGGGATGTACAAAAAAACCCTTCACACTACAGAGTTGTTGATGGCTCGTAGAAACAACACCCTACAATACATCATATTCCCAAATAATGGTGGGGCATTTATCATAACAAGGCACACTTTCACAGCATGAGTCAGTTGTGAAGTATGTCGATGTTGTAAAATATGTGGTCAGCTTCCCCGTGGCCGGCGACGGGTGACTCTACTTTGAAACACGTCATGTTCTGACACAAAAGTAACGACTGCTTTAGAGTTTAGTTTTATAGTTATCATAAAGTTGCGGCAAGGCAAGTCCAAATGTAGACACATAAGTGGGATAAAGTCATTATTCAATTTATGAAAAAACTTTTCAGGTAAAGATTACACTGAAAATAATATGTCGCTTTCCTAAAGAGAATACTACAATCCATTTTTTATTATAATCTTAGTTACAATTTAATTTAATTGAAAGTTTCTGAGTGCGGTTGTATGTGTAATTAAGGTATGTATAAACTCTCTATGTATAATCCATGTTGTGTTTATTGTCTACAATGAAGTTAGTAGATATGTTACTTTTAAAACATTAAACGTTAAGACAGTATATTACTGTATGCGAAGAAAGCTAATTATTCCTTTCCCACTGCTTAACAAGTGGTTGCTCGACTTTAGCAGATAAACGAACCGGAAACGTCAGGTTAAATAATTATAAGTCGACTTGTTATCGTTCGAGACAATTGGATTCTTTTACATCGAAAAATGTAATATTTCATACGGTTTTTTTTCATTCTTTTAAATTATTATTGAGGTTAAGTATACTTAGTACTTATCACAAAACTGTTGCGCTAAGGTAAGTATTCGAGATAATCCTCCTTGCTTCTCTTTTTTTTTCGTCTATTATGCCTTCAATTTTTTTTAAATATACTTCAGATTCATAATCATCAGTTTTATTCGTCATATTACTTTTAAATGCAATCGGGTTTTAGCGACAACCGTGAGACGAATCTCACATATAAATCTGCGATGTAATTGCACTGTGCGTATGTGTACTAAGCATACTGTGAGAAACAATTGATCAATAACAATTTATTTACAGAAGTGTACCAAGCTATTAAATAACGCGTACAACAAACACTGTTTTTATTCTG